TAGTTGGTACGCACATTTTTAATTTTGTCGTTTCGTCATCAGTTTTACGTAATAGCAAACTACAGTTATGAACTATTGCTACCCTTTTTTTAAGGGGGAAACTCATCGAATGACATCCCCCACCTGGGTGAGGCGGGAGGGAGTGTCAGACTCTTATTGACTGAAAACCACCCTGTTCCTACTCATGCACTTCGAGCCCGAGTCTCAGTAACCGTTTACGTTCTCCGCGGCTCATCTTTAGTTGTATTAGAATAAATATTTCAAGAACGTAAATACTTCACATATTAATATGAATCTCAACATAGATAATTCATAGATAATTACTTAGAAGATAAATGTATATTTGTGTACGAAATATTTCGCTAGAGTTTACCTTAAATTATGTTATTTATGTTACTACAAGGCTAAAGTTTTATTAGCTCTGACTTTTCTCAGTAGCCTTGTGTGTAATAACGTTATAATATAGGAATAGATTTTCTTTATTTTACTTTGCTTATGAAAAGGAATAATTTATAACTTATCTCGATTTTTTGTGCGAATTTCGAAAATTTTGTACCGAATTAAATGTCGTGGTTTGTACTACGCTTTAGGTAATATCTTTTCTATTGTAGCTTCACCGCCACTGACACTTAAAAAACGCTTAATGTCCATGAGTTGACATAACATCACGCCTTTTTATCCCCGAAGGGGTAGGCAGAGGTGCACATTACGGCACTTAATGCCACTGTACAATGTAACACCCACTTTTCACTATTTATGTCATGACTCCCATGTAATAGGGGGTGAGCCTATTGCCATATAACGGGCACTATTCCAGACTCCGTGCTACCACTGAGATTTTTGAAAAATCCCAGTAATACTTTGCCCGACCCGGCAGTCGCACTTGCGACCACTCGGCCAACGAGGCAGTCGTTGATGACTAATTTTTAATTTAATGGCTGTCTGGTAGATTATTTATAATATTAGACACGTATTTTTTATTTTCTTACAGAAACGAACTGTATCAAAGATATATTGATTTGAAATATCGCATGATGTTACTTTTGAGTACCATTTATATGTACTTTAAAATGCCGTAGCTACCTCCTCTGTACTCCTAAAATTTGATTCGTTTTATCTAAGTATTGTTTTCTTGTACGACAAAATAACAAAAATACGTGTCTAATATTTTTTCCTTACCTAACTGACGGACTAATCAAAATTTTAATTTTTATACCATGTCATCATCCCTGTAACCTACTCTCTAGAAATCTAGATGAGACTTCTTAATCGTGTCTAGAAAAAACGTAGATATCAAAGCAACATTTACCACAAGTGTTCTTGGGTTATTTGTTCGTTCTTTTTATACTTTTATTTACCTACCAGACTACTGTAAAAAGCTGAGACACAATTATTATCACCAGGCATGTTATCGATTGAAAGCACGCCTTCTGATCATCTTCGGTCTTCAGCTCTTCATATTCAGTACCATACAAATATACACTCACGCCTGTCTCCCATGAGTAGGCAGAAACTTTGGAGCGCCAATTTGCTACGATTCTCTTATATCTCTTTCGCTTCCTCAACAATCATCAGTTTTTTCACTTAAAGTTAAAAGTACTTTTAATTTGGCCCTTCTTTAACACAATGTGCCTGGTAATCTGGTATACAAGACCAAATTATATTCCAATAATCACATTTACAATGAAGTCCAGAATTTCTTCTATACTCAGAGTAAACGTGCAATAATTCGTTTTACATGGTATTAATCAGATTAACCTAAGACTTGTATCTAGAAGGCCTTATTTTTCTAAGCATATTACATTAGCTAGTTTCGCACGTGACACAGTTTGCCTAGAGAAAGATAAGTGAATTTACTGAATCAGGTACTATTGTATTAGGTGTATGAAATATTGCAATGTATTTTCTTACCTTGCTCTAGTCCTAATGGGAATTATTATAGTCAGGCATTTTTGGTAGGCTATCTTTCTTGAATGGCTTTGTTATTATAATAGTTCCATGACTTCCATGTATCATTATATCTTCATCATAAACGTTGGAAGACTTCCAATCCTGCGTAAAGACTTATTTGCAGTATCCCTTCGATCTGATCTTCATTTTTCATTTATTTGATCTTTTAAGTGTGAGAGAGCCATGCTTTTGCACGAATTGTCCAACTCGGCCGGAGTGATACTACGACCTCACAGATAACCAACGTGAAACAACGCTTACGTTGTGTTTCGTCGAGTGAGGGAGGTTATTGGAAGCCCAATTATCTTTCCCCCCTTCTCCAATCTCCTCAATCCCTAAAGCCCAGAAATCCTGATATTCCTAATTTCCAAAAGGCCGGTAACGCACTTGTAATGCACTGGTATTCAAGCTGTCTTATACAGAAGACTTCGTAAGATGCACTGCAATGGGCGTATACTTTAACTTATTCGTACGATACACACAAACAAAATAACATCATTAGCTGGATATCGCATAACTCTTCGGATATCTATATGGAATCTTGTATCTGTACACATATACACGTACAAAACTTGGTGCTAGTTCTCTAAGAGGTAACAAAACTCCATTATAATTCTCTGTCATTAGCAAACTTTTGGTATCAGTCTTGTGTAGTTACTGCTACCGCTTGTTCGACTTATTGTTCAAATAGATGTGGATTACGTTACTTAAGTTTGCAGATGTGACGTCACTAATGTTGTTTTACTTGAAATTGTATTTAATGAGTTCTATGATGACAGTGAAGAATAAGTAATTAGTTGCGTTTGCCTTTTTCTCTGAGTATTTGAAGGACATTTTTTTCAGTTTTCGTTGGTGTCTCATACCTAAGTATGATAGAGAAGGAACTAAAGACTCCTATAACAAATACTACTTGATATTGATTGGTGACATCGTTGATTTACTGATAGTAAACAGTAAAGTATTCTTATTCCGCATTTTATCTTACTCCATATTTTTTTTCATATTACACTGGTATGTGTGTATGTATGTATAAAATACACTTCTCGAATTTCTCTCGAGACAGTCCAAATTGTAGGAAATACCTGTGTTAGTCTCCCATTGAAGGATCTTGTGCTATCAATGAGGTGGCGTTTTTAGTGCTTACATAAAAACATTTATGCTGACGTAATTATATAGTCTTTAAAACGTCTTCTGTAATTTATTTCTGAATGCAGTTTGCTTCAAACTGACTGATCTGGAAGTCATTGGGAAAGGCTTATATTAAACAGTGGACGTCTTAAGTGACTAATATCATAAATGATGATGATGAGGACCATCTGAAGTAACCATTCAAAAAGTAAATTACTGCGCTGCATATTTCTAAAATTCGTCAGAAAATTTATTCCTAAACAATAAAGAGTAAAGACACTTTATTCTTTCGAATGTTTAGTCTATAAAAATACAAAAAGCGTAATTAATTTACATCAAACATTAATTAAATAAAACTCAATAATCACCAAGTCAATATTTCAATAACAGTGTCATTAAATTCATTAATAGATGATATTTTGTAGTCAAAAGAGGTAACGACAATGACCCTTAAATATCATGAGAAAAAGTCACGCGAAGGGGTCGCTTCGGTGTATTCCCAAAAGGACTAGGGTGTCTATTCTGATAGCTTACAATGTAAACCAGGAGGTGTTAGCACTCCCCAAAGAGTTCACAGTTTCCATAAGTCTCACGGTAAAATACTGGGTACGGTAAAATTTGTGTTGAGTTGTGTCGTTTTTTTTTTATTTTGTTTGCTGTCGGATTTTTGCAAGTGTGATGGTGAGTTTTTCTTCTTGGCTATAATGTTTGTCATGAGTAAACATTTTGAAGTTGTTTTAAGTAAAACAATTTTTACTGGTGCAGTTATGTGGTATACTTACCGAGATATTTTTCTTTTACTGTTTACAGGTTGGCAGTTGGCCGTTATTTCACCTGATTTCGGTGCTCTGATTGGCCAACTCAAGTGAACCAACAGAACACTTAACTCGATCGATACTGTTACGATACGAATGCGATAGTTATTCGTGCTTGACCCTCTGATGGTAAGCGACGATGCTGAGGAGTACGCCTGCCCAAAAGCAACTTATTCACCCAAGACTTGAAGACACCCAATCGAATGTAGTATTGAGTCAACTGGATCATCAGACAACCTTCGCTGATGAAACCTAGCAATTCTATCTATGAGTTTTTCTTTTAACAACACGTGCATACATTTAAAGTACTAGTTAGTTATACATACATGAAAACAATACATAGTTCTATATTAGAATAACGTAGAACCAAACGATTAGGGTGGAGTAATATTAAGCAAATTAGAAACCTAGATTAACATTAATGTATTTCTAGATTTCATCAATATTAATTATATAATGCGTTCAGAACGTAATCATGACTATAATACTAGACTACACCAGCGTCGAAACGTGAAATTGAATTTTAACTAGGATTTAGAACCACCCTGTGTACGATGAAGGATATTGTTTAAGATCAAATTTGTGTTTTGAGCAACTGGTGTAAGGTTCAGTTTATAATAATATAGTGTTTTCTGAATGTTCAGGGTTTTATCAATATCAAAAAGATGTTTATTTATATTAAGGCCCAATTAGCTTTTAACTGAGGAAAAACGTTGATTAGTTGACAAGTCTACCATACTGAAATCTGTCAAATTTCAACTTTATTCAACAGCTAAGAATTAACTGATGATTGAAAAATCGGCCGTAAAAGTAGCAAATGTAAAGTCTCTAAATCCTGTACAGCATTCCTGCAATACCAGATACGTTCTAAATCTTTGTATGACTTTAATTTCATAGTGAATTAGTAACCAATAACGTCTGAATGTTTCAAATTTCACTTCCTATAATAGTATAAAATGCTTTATAATATATTTCTATGATGATGCACACTACCTACACAGATAATTAATCATCTTTGTTTCGTGTTCCCTGGGCACTGCACTTTTTTCAGGACGAACTATGTGGATAGGTAAGGCAAATATTAATGGTAAAAAAATCTACACGTAGTCATGATCTCAAAAATTTAATTAATATCATTCTCATCTATAGTTACCATATACAAATCCTTAAATACAAAATATTTACAAGATTTAAGATTACTATACAATACATTATTTGATTTCTCTCGCGAACTTAGTCATAAAAATTCCGAGACATGAATCTAACATGCAAACATATTATATGTTGAACATTCGATTTCCGCGTTGAGCATAAATCTGTTTAAATAAATGCTTCTTTCACATTTCAACGCAAGATTTGTGTTTGCAAGGGATGGAAAACGAATCAATATGGCTGATCTTCCGTTTCCTTAGAACTTATAAACACTCTTTTCTGACGTTATGTAGGTAAATAATGATATTAATATTATTACAATTGTGTTAAAATTAACTCAAAATGGTACAATATCAGGTACTTAATCTACTATTTTCATGTCACAATAATTGGCTTTAAGATAAATATAGAAGAAAATTACAGAAGATATTGATAATTGTATTCACAATGACTAGCCCACGTTTCAAGTTGAGTGGTATCGGAATGACAAATCACTGTAAATAGCGCACTCGAGCCTCAGTCGTAGCAGAAATCTTAACATAATAAAGCAATACATTTTCACTCGCAACTTCGCACTCAAATGATTTATTTTCCATTATTTGCTTTTGGAATACGTCTCTTTCAAAACTTTAGCAAAAAGTTTGTATCTAAAAGCTCTAAGCTTAAGAGAGCCGCCGATCTCGAAAACTTTTAGTCACGTAAGTATCTCTACTATAATTTCTGAAAATCTGTTGGGTTCAATTTATGCTTCTTGTTCAGTGTAATGGAATTCTTTATATTTTAACACGGCTCAAACTTTGTCAGGGGCAACAGGACCTACTTTATCGATTACAAAAATAGTTTCTACGTAGTCGAAATCACACCTAAGTCGGACATTTAGAAAACCATTACTTTTTATATGATTTCGACAATCTGGAACGAGGCCAGAATTACTGAAAAGGTTCATGTTATTGACAGTATTGATCTATCATAGAATTTTTAGCACTGGATATAATAATACGACACTGGATTCATCAATTACACTTACTAAGAAATAATTTAATTAAATATCTAAACCAGTCTTTTTTCTTAATATCTAAAAATCAAGCATAATTAGAAGAAGTATAAAATTATAAGCTATTAGTGCTAAAATAAGCGGTAAAGTTCAAGTTATCACCTTTAATTTGTAATGGATCAAAAGTCAAAACACCTTAGCCTTTTCATTTCCAATTTTCTATACAATAGGAAAAATATGTACAGTGATAATCTTGTCTCTGATTAGGCCATTAAAGGAGAGATCGTCGCTAAAGGACGTAAGATAATCGGTTCTATAACCATTACGCGATCTACTTTGGAAACAGTAAAGAGATATCTCTTTGTAAAACATTTGTTATTTCCAAGGCTACCTGAACTTTTTCGTCGATTCCAGCACTAATGTAATATTAAGCATCACACTGGTAATATTATAATTTAGATATTAAATAAGTTTATTGATAATGATATAAATACTAATAATAATTTTGGAATGATCCGTATGCTATTACCAGATTGCCAGTAATTTTCATCTTTGGAGGAGAGCATTAGAGAATCTTCACCACTTCTAGTTAGTTCACGTGGGCAAGGCAAGGTTTCCACAGGGATATTGACAATGTTAAGCTGATTAGCTACTACTGGTTGAACGGTTGGTTCAAACTTGAAAGTACTTGTATCTTCATAGAATTCTTCATCGTTAGCATCTTGTTGCAGTTCATCTCCATTGGATTCTATCTCGTATAATTGTTCAGATTTGGCCGGTTTATTGTCTTTAAAGGCAGTGCTCACGTCGTTGGATGAAACTTCTTCACCATTAGCATCATCACCACTCATGGCACACGTAACGCTATCCAAAGCCATTCTTAGAGGTTCACTCTTTGTCTCGTTCCTCAAAACTTGTATCCACGACAAACGGCAATCACAACTTAGTTTATTACCTGTAAGAAAAAAATTCTTAGTCAGTACTTACATAAAATATGAGGCAACTCGAAGAATACTCAAAGGACGACATAGATATTGAAGGAAAGCCAATAAGACTGTTATAAAATATTAAATCGTATTTTTACATTACATCGTATCGTATAAGAAATAAGTAATAAATATCGAAAACAAAATGAATTATTCAAGTATTGCCTCTAGCTTTGAAAGTGTTTTAGCCAGAAAAAAAAAACAATATTATCTGCTGAAGAAAATATATTCCAAACAAAAGTTATAATCACATAATATCATGGGATTGGAATTTTCTGCTCGGGTAAATTCAAATTCAAGATTATGTGAGTTTGAGTATTGGTTTGGGGGCCTAGAGTCAAAAAGTATTTTTCAGAATAGATTGATAGCAATATAAGCGCCAAATAGATACAAAATATAAAAAAAAATCGAATTAATGACCTATACTCTTCATTGGTCTATGTCCAATGCTGTACGGAGTATTATTTCCACGCAATGTTTTTCGTAAAATTATACACGAGCCGATTTACATGGAAAAGCAGAAAGGAACTCAAGTAGATACTCTTTCACCCTTTAGCGAATATTTAAAATATAAATTTGCATATTCAGTAAAACAAACAAAAACTTTAATACCCTTCTTTAACAGAATTAATTTAATAATACCTTCAATGAAGTAAACACACGTGACAATTTAATCAAAAATATTAAAACAACAAATGTTTACTTTTAATAAAACTTCGCCCATTGTACAACAATCGACTTATTGCTACGTGTGAGCCGATAAAGGGAGCTGCTACAATCATTAATTGTCCTTAATGCGAAGGGTGCTTTAGTAAGGGGATTAAACACCAGGGGATTCCCTATTGTTTGGTCAAAACATACTTATTTAACTTCCCAAGAGCTACGAACATGCTGTGTACTATTTATTCGTAAATAACATGTTACTAGCAAAAATGGACGCGTAATATCATTATAATGGCGAAGTAATGTCGTTCATTTTGAATAATGGAATCGACAGTGATAGAATGAATATGAATTTCCTCTAGCTGTCCAAATACTGGTGTTTAAAAGTTATTATAAAATAATTTACGAAGGGTGAAATGGGTATCTACGCAAACTTGGAGGGTCAGTTGAAAGGTTAGGGCGTAGTTGGAACGTTAGCAATAATTATCATAATGGTCACTTTCTTATAAAAACATCTGTTATATCAAGTTTAAGAGAAGTGGAAATAAATCGTTTCCGACGTAAATACGAAACAATTCGTTTCCGATAAATTGAACTTACCACTTAAATACAGCACAGCATTCTTCATTTTCAAATTTTCCAATATCGGCTTTATTGTGTCGTAACTAAAATGTTCTAGCTCATTGTTCCTCAGATCCAATAATTCAAGACCGCGCACACCTTCTAATAGCCCTTCATTAATAGACTTCAATTTATTCCCTGTCATAGATAATTTCTGTAACAGAGCGAGACCATCAAAAGCCCTTTCAGACAGAAATTTCAATTCGTTATTATCCAAAAGTAGCTCGTTAAGATTCCACAGCTCTGTGAAAGTTAAATCGCCCAGCATTGACAACTTGTTGGACCGCAGATCCAATCTTGTCAGATTAGCTAAGCCCCTGAATGTGTCTCTAGTCAGTACCGTAATTGAATTAGCCTCCAGAATCAGGTCGTTTAGTACGGTCAGATGTTCAAAACAACCGTCGTGCGCCAGATTGATACTGTTAAAGGACAAATCCAGATATTTGAGACTCGGCAAATCGACGAACACATCCCTCTGCACTTCTGTGACTTTATTCTCTTTTATAGTTAGGTTTACGAGCGACGGGAGATTCGTGAACGATGAGAAGTCCAATTCGGTTATTTTGTTGTTCATGAGAGTTATTTCTTTCAATGTGGTTATGTTCGAGAATGTTCTCTTCTCAATCTTGTTTAGTGTGGCGTAGTGTATGTATAGTTTTTGTAGTCGTTTCATGCGATGGATTACATGGAAGGGTATGAATTTTAGTGCTCCGTCAGATCGGACGTTGAATGTGAGCCTTTCCAAGTAAGGTTGAGTGTTGAATGTGGACCATATCGGATCTGTTTCATCAATACCTCCGTTGAAAACCCAACAGTCAGCCCTCGTTGCTGTTTTGACGTCGGTACTCTCACAATAGCAATGGATTTTAGATTCTCTGTTCGTTATCTCGCATATGTTATCTTTTACTTGTGTACCGTGGTACCTCCTTTCAGTTTTATCCCTGCGTTTTTCATTTAGACGGCTTTCAGTGTAGGATATTTGCACTGAAGTCAGAGCCAAAGCTAGGAGTAAATATTGGACGACGGTCTCCATGTCCCCTTGCCTTTCACTAACCTGAAACAAACAAAAAATAAATTAAAGACTTGCTTTGAGAGCGGCGTAGCATAAAGTTCCGTAGAAAAACGTTACAATATTTTTTTTCATGTTTTAATAAAACTTGTGACTTGAAATATTCTTTGTGGGGTTAGTGATTGATGTGTTTTATGTCTTTAGATACTAAGTTACATTTCTTTTAAACAATAATGTACATATTATGAAAATATAAACAGTCCAATCTAATTGCGTATTCCATGAGGAACTTAATATTATCTTTAAGAATGTCTAGTATTGTAGACAAAATAAAATACAAACGGCAGCGTACTGTCTGCAGTAAATTTACATAATCACTTTAACAGAAGGCTTTAAAACAATGACTCAGCGTTTGACTGCCTACTTTATTACCAAAACTGGTCGTAATTCATTCGCCCATTGACTTGTTGGAGTGGGTATCGGATGTATCGCCTGCACTCAGTCTAATTTGTGGGGAGGCGTGTAATGAACGCACCGGAACATGTCACGTGACTTTGAGTCATTTATGCCCCGTTCACCCTCCGTAAATTCGGCTTTTTGCTATCATTTTTTGACGTAATTACTTTGATAATATGCCATTCAATGTAGAAGGGGAGACATGGAAAACAACGTATCATGACTATGACTAAGCTGTTAGCAGAACATTTTTTATCATTTTGTTTATTTAGGATAGGATTATAATGTCCTTTACAAACTTTTTTTGTACAAAATTCTTCGTTGAGTAATCCAATCATTTATAATTGTCGCAATAAAAAAGACAATACAAATAGAACACTTGAATATAAGATTGTTAAGTAACATATTAAAACTCCAATATCAGCACAGAGATTTTTTATTACACCCATTTTCTCTAGATAAATTAACAAAACACAAAAGCATTGTCGTCAAAAGAAAATTACACATCACGAAACTAGCTCATCAGCGTGTTTAATTAAAAACGCTTTCTCTTTTTCACACGAATGAGGCTAGTAATCAGTGTGAGGGGGACAAAAACCTTGTGTGCAGACTTTTTTGTTTCTTCCAAATGGTTATTAGGGATTGAAATTTTAGGGGCATCCCTTGACGCGCTCGCGACGATTTTAATTAAAGGGATTGTTAGATCGAGATGCTAAAGTTCGGCAGTTAAGTCTTTTGTTATTGTAAAAAGTTTAATATCGTGCGAAGATTCACGAATCATGTTTGCCTTTACTTTTAAAGCTGCTTTGTAGAAGTGAAGCGCCTTTGTCTCGTGCGCTCAAACTTTTGTCTTGAGAATATTTTCTTTATTTTGATAAGAATAATATATTACACATTTTAATTTATCGTCATATTTTTTAGTACGTTTTATTTTTAATTTGGAATCATCAGTTTTTGGACCTTTGAGATAACACCTATTCTATATCTATTAAAGCAAACGTCTTTGCTTTTAAAATATTAATATTTTGTGGCGGATAATTTATGAAATTGTGTGGGCCATAAATTCAAAATTGATGTCCATTTTAGATATATTATACAATATTTGCGTAGTCAAACGCATCGCAAAATGTGTACTTTGCATTCAACGGCCATTTGCTATCAATAAGCCGATGATGCCATTAAGTACCATTATAGGGGTCCATTTATTAGGCAACATAATATCGGACGGTAGGAGTTATCAAAAATATGCAATAAAATTACTGCAATCAATTTTGGGCGGATTATAAAACATTCATAGCTTTATTGATAAAAAAATACATGTAAAAATGTGTCTTAATTATTCAATCTGTTTGCTATTTGATAAGAGTCAAAGATCAAATTGCTAAAAAGTAATCTTGCTAGTACAGAATCACCCTTTTTTATTTTATTTTCTTCTTTAATTATACATACATAATATGTATGATAAGTGTCTATTAAGTCTAATAGATTCGATAGCGAGGCATAATCGGATATTTGGTCTCGAAACGTTCCGTGGTACGTAGTGCACGGAATCTAGATTTGCGGTGTTACAATAAGCTTTCTGCTAATTAGGACTTACGAGGAGTGGGTATTAGGTATATATTCCTCTTACAATAAGCATTATTTCATATAATACTAAAATGTCATTGTAAGCAAATAAAACGAAGTATTTCATAACAAAGCATAAAAATGGAATCCTTTCTCATGTTACAAAAGAAATCGAATTTTTAAAAATCATTACACTTCCCCAGTCGCTATCGTTCTTACCGCATTCGATTGGACTTTTTTAAATTTAATTCTGTCCGGAATTGCGCCCGCAATACCTATTTCGAGTGAAGTTGTAAAAAGATACTGTTAGAAGACCAACGTTTCGTTTCAGAAACCTTTTGTTTGTCTGTTTTTTTACTTTTTTTTCTTTTATTTACACACTCTTGAGAACAAAAATCTGTCTATTCTTTTTTAATAACGTCCTGTATATTTGATTTTTGTCTGGAGTCTATTGACAGAGGATAAAAACAATAATAAACTTTAAAACTAATAACAGACCGTCTATTTTGTTTTGAAAACAAAAAATGTTGATCAATATTTAAATGTTTGTTTTTTCACTCCTTTGTCTGTCGTGTAGGCCAATTTTGTTTTGTAAACAAAAGGGCTGATTTTAAACATTCTGTCTGTAAGTGACTACAAAGTAGGCATTAGTTTTTAGGCAATTGTTCTAATTTTATTTTTTTTGCGAAAGGTTAAACGTCTAGTCTAGATAGATAAAATTCAATTGAACACGATGATTTTGATTAGAATTTTTCCTGAATAAATAAATATCCCAAATATATACCATTTTTCAAATATGACCTAAGAAAAGTCAATGTCAAAATGTAGTGTTTTCATGATTCCCTTAACGCATAGCAGTTTCTAGATGATACAAGAGGCTTGGTTAACATTACAAACATTGCGAGGCCTAGTTTAAGCTGAAAGCAATTGATCCTTCCAGCTGTACTTTAGCCAGAACCTCTTCTATTATTAACATATTGTTCAACACATCGCCCCAATACGTGTACTATAATAATATTCCAATGAAAACTATCTGACGCCTGAAGCATTAGTTATTTTCGGTGTAATTTATTATTCATAACATTGATTTCTATTGATAGGACGTGTGGTGTGAATGGTATCGGATAGAATGCATAATGGAGTACTAATAATTGAACGATTGGATTTTCTACTCTCAACACTATTTACCATTTGATGGTTGATTGGTAAATTCATTTGTTGTGAAAATCGTGTTTAATATTACATGTAATAAGACAATGAACATGAAAGTTTTCTGGAAAACAGTCCATCATTAAGGTACAGATGTTCATTTCAAGCAATAAAGCATGCTTCAATTTTATAAAATAATTGTTACAATGTTGGAATGGTGCTCAAAATTTGCATGTTCTTATCAGGCTTTATCCGAATAGTCATCAGACCGCCACAGACGGGGCCCAACAGGGCTGATGCCGATACGTAGCCGCGGAAGACTTCACGGGTTGCCGGGGCACAGGCTCGAAGTGCAGTAGTAGAAACGGGGTGGTTTTTAGTCAGTAAGAGTCTGACACTCCCTCTCGTCTCACCCGGGCGGGAGAAGCCATTAGATGATTTTTTCCCTCAAAAAAAAGGCATTATCCGAATCGACAAGCGTTCGATTTTAAATATTTTTGAGCATGCTGAATGCATTTTAGTATGCTGTTTTAGAGTATATGTAATAGCATCATTAATTTATAAAACATTAAACACTTAAGGAATTTTATTGTCTAAAGGCACAATGTAACACTAATCTTTCACCCGTCATATCATTAGGTCATGTAAATAGGTAGTATTCATAAATATTTGTCCAGATTTCTTTTATACGGGATTCAAGAATAACAAGGTATACCAGTCTTTGAACAATCGAGTTTTCTAGAAACTGGAAACAGAATAGTGATTTTGTCAAAAAACGTTTTGAAGCTTTAGGTGATTCATTTGAATATGAAACCGTACAATCTATCGTTTATTTATAGACATTATTCTTTATTGGTGGCTCAATAGAGTGATAATTAAAAATGTCTGTTAAACGAGAAATATAGAACAATAATATTTAGCTTTTTCTGTGGAACATAATTTAAGACCGAAAAACACATGTTTCACACGCGGTCTTAAATAGCACATGCTGATTAGGAATTTTAGAATATTCTCATCCAAAAAACTACATTTTCGCGTTCTGAACCACACCAATTCTGATCATATGCCGCGGTAGAGATCGGTAACACACTTGTAACGACTGGTGTTCCAGGTATCCATGGGCGACGCTGATCGGTTACCATCAGGTGATACGTCTGCTCGGTTACCGGCTTATCCCAAATAAAAAAACCAGAAGACTAGGCTCCAAACATGACATTAACTTCTACTGTACTCATTTCTATCCAGTTACTGCGCAAGCCATAGCCTTAAAAATGTCTGCATTCGATACGACTGTTTTAGACGAAATCAATACTTATGATATCTATTCGCGTTGTGCTGAAAATATTTTGATGAAAATATTTAACTACTGTTATAAATTAGACCCTTTATGAATATTTCGTTAAGGTTTTTATTAAAATCTTTGTTGTGTATGTGTACCTATAATTAAAGAAGTAGTTATATGTTTTTTTTTAAAGTTGCTTGTATAGATTGTGTGAATGTGACATTTTTTTTCAATGACATGCCAATTATTTTATAAGATATTTTTATTTCAGTTATCATAGTTTGATATTATGCTAGGTTACAGTTTCTTTTTTAGAACAAAATGATAGTTTATATTGTATATGATCATATTAGCGAGGTTTTAGTTTGAATCTCATTTAAGAGAGACCTATAAAAAGGTTTTATGCCTACTTCAAAACAAAGTAACCGTTTCATTATCCTAAACGATTTGAGAGACTGAAAACGTCTGCAAACAAAAACGTACTTAACATTAAAGCGAAACAATCCGTAAAATTAGTTCTATTTAAATCCGAAAAGCATTTAGGCAAAATTATTAGATTAACCCTAAACTAATAAAAACTAATGAAAGAGAG